AAAAAGAAACAATGACCTCCATTAACATACCATTCATATATTTAAAACAATGAAAGCTAGCAATTGAGAAGATCAACTAAAGAATGGATTTCTAGGTGCTGAGGAGAACAATGCAACATTTAAAACCAGAGCAAAAGATATTCAAACTGAAGAGGTAAAGATATTCAAATTGAAGAGGTAAAGATATTCAAATTGAAGAGGTAAGTAACTTGTAAACCCAATTCTCCTTCCTTCTTCGGTGATTTACAACAATTAATAAAAAAGATAACTTGTAAAAAAATCAAGCTATAGGTTCATCTCAAGTAAACCATTGACTCTATTTCTTCTAATTATTATGGATATGGGTCTAGATCATGAAGAAGAGTTTTTCATTAAGGTTGATCTCTAGACTTAATTATGGAATTTAGGGAAAAACAAGCTATCCATAGAGACATTCAGGGGAAAAGATGCAAAGAAGTATAATCTCAAATACTCATTAGCTTAAGAAATCGAACTGGGATTAGGCAAGCTAATAACTCCTTAATTCATACAGAAATTCTTCTCAAAAACCAATGTAAAAGGCTATACCACATGATTAGCAAAATTCCAAGAGAACTCGCAAACACAAACTGCACCTGAAAATGAAAATCAAGGAAAAAAAAAATGAAAATCCATCTTAGTTCAATAATTTTTAAAATATTTAATCCATCAGGAAAAGAAAGTATTCATAGACATTAGAACAATAGAACTGCGACAGAATTCAGCTGAAAAAATGAAAATCAAAATTGGAAAGAAAGGAAATCCCAATAGAAGCTACCAGACGGTCAGTCCCCGGCAAAGAGTTCCCAAGTTGGAAAGGGAGGAGATCCCAAATGAGAGTGAGTCGATAGTTTCCTTTTCCGAGAAAGAGGAGATCCCAAATCCTCGGCAACAAGATCTATCCTAAATCCCAAAAGAGTGTCAGGCGATTGCATGTTGATTCATCAAAATGAAGCAGTAACGAAACATGAATTTAACCAAACTAGAGTCTCAAGCATACCAACGACTGGAAAACTATAGAGAATGGACGAAATCGTTACCAAAATAGATCCGATTCTACGCTTTCTCGGCAGTCGGCACCGGAAACTTGAGATGAACCGTAGACGGAGCAGAGCGAGGACCAAAGGAGATCCCCCATCCAGCACCTGAGGCGTTGATCTATCGAGTGAGATGATGAAAAGTCAGCGCGCAATTGAGAACCTATTATCAAGGAGAGGTTGAGTGGCCGACGACGCGAAGGTGAGAGAGCAGCGAGAGCAACGGCAGAGTTAGGGCGGACGGTGAAGGCTCATCGTCGTCGGTGAGAAGATAGTGCAGACCCAATTCAATTCAAAATTGAAATTCGAGGGTTTTAGGGTGAAATTGAAATGCACGGTATTTACTCTCGAGAATTACTCTGTTAAAATACATGTATTTCATCTAAATTCAATTACATTTTATTTAGGTAAAAACAAACAGTAAAATTGAATTTGAGCACTTCAAATTCAAATATACACTGCCAAATTCAAGTTGCCAAACAGAGCAATAAGGAGTTTGATT